CAAAGGGCCAAATCACTCGCTGTATATTAAGATTGGCACAATACAAGCAGCGGGAAGGAAGCCACTGTTATTAATACCTGGCCCCATGTCACAGAGGGGCCTGGGTGAAAATTTAACTTTACTGCCTTTATTCAGTTTATCTTGTGCTTGTGATTGTTAATTGTTGGTTAATTCATACACAGAGAGTGGGAGAAATAGGGCGGGCAGTAGTGACCTACAGCTCAGTTTTGCCCTGAGCCCCACATATCATTTAATGTACACCGGCTTTTCACTGATGTAATTTTGCTTCTTTTATGGTACTCCAGTGGGATGAGATTTCGCTGAGAATTGGTACAGAGAGTCCAGTGCCTGTGCTCCAAGCTTGTAAAGGAGGAAGAAGAAGAAGAACCATTTTGAGTCAGTGGATGGAGCGTAAAGAAGCCCGCTATCTGCTGATGGATATTGCATTTGCCCAGGAGGAGGAGTCATCTGGTCAGCTCAGCCCACTACAAGCTCACCTTTTTGACACAGACACACCCATCACAAGATTTCAGAATAGACAGATAGTTCTGGACCTCCAGACCTCCAAGCCATTTCCTGTAACAGCCAATTTAAGTCAAATATTCAGCTACCTGAACCGCAGCCTGGCTCTAAGCCTAGGCTCAGTCAGTCGCAGAGGCTTCCAGCTCGCCTTCTCCTACTCAGAAACATGTGCCTTCATAACATCCATCAGATTGTATTACAGGAGGTGCCCTGCCATTGTGGCTCATCTGGCCTCATTTGCAAAGACTGGGGCTGGGTCCGGGCCTCTGATTGGTTCCTGTGTGAAGGGAGCTGTGGAGGTTTCTCCACCTGTTACAGAGTGTGGGTTGGATGGAGTGTGGAGTCCAGTGCAGGGGGGATGTGCGTGTGAACCTGGGCATCAGGTCATGGATGACACCTGTCAAGGTATGCAGACATGATGATATTTCACTTGTTTTACTTTTCACAGTTACTTCACCACATATTTTATATAACAGCTTAAAAAACAAAGCCATGTTTTTGGGTTCTCCATCTGTTTGTCCCATTCTCATGTATTCTCACAGTCCTAGTTTTTATCTTTGTATGTTTTTGTGCAGAATGTCAAAAATAGTGGCGGTATGTTACTCCAGTGTGCCCTGTTCTTCTAAAGGATGGAGGATGCTCCACAGGCTATAACTAAAGGATGAGAAAAATGACAAAATGTAGCAAAACCAATCAGTTACAATCTTGTTTGCATATAAACTGCTACAGGTGTTGCTACAGTATTGCAGCAGATAGCTGAAAGATGCACCTTACTGAGGGACAAGGTACAGCAACAGTCATACTGCACAAACGGTTTTGTTTTGTACCAAGTTGCTGGTGCAAACACTTCACAGTATCCTGGCTGAATCATTCTTGAAAATACTCTGTGTCTATGTACTGTAATACTTAACAAAACACAACTCATGACTTTCACATCCCATTTTCCCATAAGCCTCTTCCTTCTCAATTTGCTTTAATTTTAGTTTTTGACATCCTGAGCATTGCTCAACAGCTCATCTGCATGTTCATATTTTCTCTATTTGAAAACAAAGCTTTGCTAAAGCAATAACATTCTGACAATTTTGTTATTTTAGGGCCTTGAACATGGCGTTATTCATAGATTGAGATGAGATGACCCAAGATGAGAATCAGATTGTTCCAAATCTTGAGTGCAAACTAGACATTTTTCGGATGCTGTAACAGGGACCTAGGGCAAAATATTTGCTGCTAATCCCTAGTAATTCCTTTATACTGGACAACATTAGGCTTTTACAAATATATGAGTATTGGTATATATTGTATCCCTTCCAAAAAGCAACAGGAAATGACACGCATATGTTTGAGGTCACTTAAAAATAAGTTGCCTTTGGAAACATATCCACTAACTGGTTTAATTTAGTTCATGGGTCTCTAAAAAGACCATCAACTAATGTGTTAATATGGTAAAATGGTAAATGGACTGTATTTTATATAGCGCTTTCTCACAGTGTGTTGCACTGGCCAAAGCGCTTTACAGAGATGATACACCATTCACACACAACATTCACACACTGATGACGACAAGCTGCCATGCACCGGCGCTAGTCAAGCCACCAGGAGCAATTCGGGGTTCAGTGTCTTGCTCAGGGACACTTAGGCATGCGGGGAGACCGGGAGTCGAACCACCAACTTGCTGGTCAGGAGACGACTGCCCTACCTCATGAGCCACAGCCACCCATATCAGAGTTTTTGAACATTCAAATATTAATACCACTGATTTGGGTCAACTAGTGCAAGTAAAACTAAAGAGTTTTTGATTTAAAAAAGCTTAAAATCAAGAAAGTATTACAACCACATTGAAAAAGTATCAGTGGTAGGAAGGAAACAGTCACTATTTCTATTTCACCAGCATGTCAGGTCGGCTACTACAAACCAGCCAATGAGAGTGGAGGATGCCAGCTGTGCCCAGCAAATACCAGGACACCTGGGGAAGGGTCAGAGAGGTGTGACTGTCTACAGGGATTTAGCCGCCTGCCAACTGATCCCACTGACCTCGGCTGCACCAGTAAGGCACTGATTGGGTTTATTGGAAATCCTCAGGTGTCATCCTACTGGCTCTGTCATTGTTGCCTATTTCTGCTCTCAGGGATATGATGCAGATTGTTTATATACATACTGCATGTGAAATTCATTAATACTATAGTGGTTGTCTACCTTCTACTTGTATACATTCATCTCATTGGATCCTATTGACACATACTGACAGGATTTTGCTGTCTAAGCATGTTTTTGCTTCCTTGTCCTGTACTCCACAGAGCCGCCCTCTGCCCCTGTGAATCTAACAGCCCATCATAATGATTCAGTGCTGACAGTGATGTGGGATCCTCCTCTTGACAAGGGAGGCAGACGGGAAGTGTTTTATAATATTAAGTGTGAAAAAGAAACAGAGACTCGCAATCAGTGGGAGCCATGTGGGGATGATGTGAGTTTCCTGCCTGACTCATCAGGGCTGATCAGCACATCAGTGAGCATCATGGGACTAAACCCACAGCAGAACTATAAACTGTCACTGCAAGCCCTGAATAACATATCCAGCCTACAGGAGGTGCCACTTTCATCCACTGCCACTATTACTATTCATAGATGTAAGTAAGCCTGACTAGAAAAGTGACAGCTTGTATGGTGGGAAATAACAATATGGAAGATTGTAGGTTCTCAGGACTGATTTTTGGTTTTTACTGTGTGAATTATTTGTCTGTCTTAGTTGGTTTTTGGATTTTTGGTCTCTCCTTTATTGACAGTGGAACAATAAAAAAAAAAATCATTAATGTAAAAATATTTATTAATGCAGCTTTAAGGTTTTGGGAGCACCACTGGGCACCAAGTGCATCTTTAAAGTTAACACAGTCAAATTTATTGTACTTTAAATTATTTCTGAGCCATATAAAATGTTTCTTTTTTCTTACAGGGAAGGGTCCTCCTGTGGTGATCACTGTGATTCCAGACTTAAACATATCTGAGGATAAAATAAAAACATCTCCTAAGCACTCGAGTTTCTTCCCCATATGGGTGACAGTTTGTATTTTAATTGGCAGCCTCCTACTCATAGCTGTAATCACCCCTGCTGTATGTTTCCTGCACCGAAACTACACTAAACTCAGGTAAAGTGACCTTCTTCCATTTTCTAGTCTCAGTTTCTCCAACAACTACTTGGATTTTCTGTTGAGAATCTATTCTTGAATTTGCTCTAAAGTAATAACATAAAACACATCATTGCTTCTGTCTGTGGTGCTTTAGAGAAAGATCCCAGAAAAAAAAATCTTAGGACATTTACATCTATTTTCCAGTGACTGGAATGTAACAAGAACTGTTCTTTATTTTCCCATGTATTCCATGTCTGGGAACTCATTTAGTACACAAGGAATGATAATTCAAGTTTAATGACAAATTTGTGTTTAAAATTATTACAATTATAACTTTCCTACAGGTCTGACCAAGAGGTTGAGCTTTTGCCATTAAATGTTGAATCCACCTACCGGCGCCCAACGGCGGTGGAGGCTGCACCCCAGCAGAGTAGCAGTAAGTGTCAAATTCCAGAGGGCTTTTGCTCTTCTGTCATCCTATTGGTTCTGGTTTTAACATCTTTTCAGAATAGCTGAAACATATTTAACCACTTCCTTCATTTTCAAATAAAGGTCCAAAAGAATGACCAGCTCTTCCTGAGATTAACTTTAAAATACATTAGTGTCCCACTGGATGGGATTTTACTGAAAAATCTGTAGACAATGAGTAGATGCTGATACTTTCTGACACTTCTCTGTGTTTTTCTAACTTAATGATATTGTAAAACATCCTTAAATTGCACACCTTTTGTTTATATGGGTATTAGATGGTGGCCCGCCTTAGATGAAATGCTGTCAATAAAGCATATTTGTAAGGGTGCTTAAGTTTCAGCATGCATGTTATTCCTCATTTGATGGCATTTGAAAAGTGAATCCTTTAGATTTTCTTTGTGTTCCAGTGATGGAGGGGGTGGCCCAGCTGTTGGAGGGTCTCAGTAGTGGGCTGCAGGCAAGTCTGAAGGAGGTACTGGTAGAGAGAAACAAGTTGACCCTTGGTAAAGAGCTTGGCAAAGGTCAGTTCGTGAGTCAGCATCAATAATCCTGGCTTAGTCTCATAACACAGGGTTTTGCTAACTCTCATTAGAGTCAGGTACAGTAGGTAAGTGGTTCCCAACTGGTGGGCTGTGGTCCTAATGTGGATCATGGGTCCATTCTGAATGTAGACTACTGTAAATGAATTGTGTTTGTTGCAAAAAACACTTTATTTCAAAATGCAACAAATTTCTGGCACAGAACATTCATTTTGAAATTTCCTGCTGTATAGTGATTAAAGGTGCCCCCACACTCGAGGAATAGTTTAGTAAGTCTCTGAAATTACCAGCATTGGGGAAGCTGCTCTGGTAGCCAAAGTTACTTCACACTAGAAGAAGCTGAACTACAGCAAAACTGCTCCAGAGAGGAATCTAGTTTGGTTAACTAAAGCTACTTAGGAAAAACATTCAAACTACTTAGTTAAAAAAAAGATCAAACTGGCAATGTACATGTGGTACATCTGTTACATCTGACTCATACAACCTTAACTAAAACAACTTGCACCTTTTTAGACAGTACGAACAGCTTGAGCACTGGTCTAAATAATGGGCCTAATTCAATAATCCAATAATAGTTATTAGTTTAATTAATTACATGTAGTGCACTACTCCCCAGCTCTGGAAATCAGTTGGCACGAAGGCTAAGGCGAGTCAATAATGTAACGCCTTGCTACAGCCACTTTAAAAACGGGTTTTTGAGCAAAATCATCAGTGAGATGTGCACACAGGAGTGATGTACATGATGAAATGTGTGTTAATTTAGCTTATGTGTGGACCTTGAAATCTGGACCTTGAGACTGGACCAATGGTGAACAATTGCTTTTCAGTATTCTGTTATAAACTCTAAATTAGAATTAAAATCTTTGAAAATGAATGAATAAGTTCTAATGCAATCTTTGGCTATCCATCAGTCAGCTTTCAGTTCATCTGGGGTTATAAATAAGCCACAATTATGTGCTGTTTGGAAGTGAGAGTGAGCATGGACGAACACACAAAACTATTACAGACACAAAATGACTACAAACAACATAGCAGTGGCCATTTTTCACTCTATAGTCATTTTGTGTCTGAAATAGTTTTGTGTGTCTTTGTAGTATTTTTGGAACTCTGTGCTTTTCTGTGTTTTGTTTCTATGTGTGGTGCTTGTGAGTTTTCTTAGAGTTGTTTTGAGTCTGTGGTCATTTTGCACCTTTTTGTTATCATTTTGTCTGTTATGCATCTCATTATGGTTATTTTGCATTGATTTATGGTCATTTTGTTTGTCTCTTTAGTATTTTTGTGCTTCTTTGTAGTTGTTTTGAGTCTTTGTGGTCATTTTGTCTCTTTGCAATCATTCTGTGACTATTTATTGTTTTGCATACCTGTAGTAGTTTTGTGTCTCTTTCTAGTCATTTGGTTAATTCTCTAACAAAACATCTTAATGGTTGCTTCAACCAGAGGTCACAAACCCTTGGGCCCCTGGGCTTGTACTCGATAGGCTCATTCAGTAATCCATTCCTGACAGTGAGTGATCATATTCAGCCTTCTTTCCTCTTCTACAGGAGAGTTTGGCTCCGTGTATGAAGGGATATTTACTCCAGAGGAAGGTGCGGACATCAGGGTGGCTGTCAAGACCATGAGAGGTGTGTACAATCTGACTGTCCACACTCTGTCACAGCTCTTTATATTTTGTGATTTTGTCATTTTTTTCTGTCTTACACATCTAGTTGGAATCCATAGCCAGGAAGACTTGCATGAGTTTTTGAAAGAGGCAGAGATCATGAAGAACTTTGACCATGAAAATGTGGTCCAACTACTCGGTAAGATATATCACCTAACTGACGACTCTGTCCACTGTTTTCTATACCTTTACAGTCTGCTGTATCCTATAAGCCATGTTATGCTGATCACTTGTGTATAGAAGTAAACCCTGCTGTAACAATGAGCTGAAAATGGCAGAAAGCTGCACAGATGCTGCAGAATCTCAGTAGAAATGACAACAGTTTAGGTAACTTATGATAGGATTGTCAGATCAGAAAATGTTTTACACAGGAGGAGGGTTCATAGTTTTACAGAATTTCATACAAATGGTATTAAATTACAAAAACATACTGTGAAATTACATGCTAAAATTAAAATAACAAAAAATCCTGTAGCTGTGGATTACCCTAAAGCTTGCTTTTTTTTAACGATTTCCCTTTCTCACATAAAAAGACTTAAAATACTTAAAATTGCATAATAATTACCATTTACTGTTTCAAAATTTGAACCAGCAGACCTCCCAGCATGCATTGTGTGAGAGTTAAAACTCTTCAGTTCCTCATTTTTTTCCAGATTGACAAACCAATTCATGTGTCTGTAATACAAATTAAATTAAGTGTAGGTTGATATTTTTCATAATAATAAAAAAATATGCAAACCAAGATGAAGGTTAGTTTGAATTCAGTTTCTACATTTAGTATCTAACAAAGCCACTGGAAACAGCACAAGTTTTTGTGTCAAATGAAAAAGTAGTATTTTGTTCCCAATATATTTATCTGTTTTATAATTTTTATAAAGGGAAAATTCCTGGGCTTTAAAGGTTGTTTTTTTTTTAACATGAAAAAACTTTTAAATACACAAGATATTTTTAATTAAAAGGAAAAAACCTGTATGTTAAAATTACATATTACCATTAAAAAACATTTATTGGATTTTTACAGTGTAGAGGACATGGACATTGTATTATATTGTTTAATTAGATGTGTATCCATAATCAACATCAACAGTTATGCACTGGTGATCCCTTCATATGTCTCTTCTAATACCATAACTAAAAACTTTGAATTTTCAAACAATTCAAGAAATCAGAACTTCTTAACACTATTAAATCACTTAACAGTAATTAAATTTTCTAACCCAGTGTTGTTTGCCACCAGAGCTGTCATTCAGGTTTGGGGAAATGACAGTAAATCTGATACAGTGCCTGTCTGGTTCTAGAGGCACTGTAAAGGTCGTTTTTTACTACCTTGTCATCTGCACTGCAGCAGCAACCTTGTGAAAGACATGTATGTGCTTATCCTGCAGGGGTCACATTACAGAGGGAGCATGATTCTCCTCTGCCTCTACCCATGGTCATCCTGCCTTACATGAAACATGGTGACCTGCGCCGCTTCCTCATTGCTACACGCTATGGTGATATTCCCATGGTGAGATGCAGTCAGTGCATGCATTAACATAAATGGGGCTTATTACTGTATGCATGTCAGCACATGTTTACATAGAGAGATACTGTAGACACAAGAACAGTATAAAGAAAATTGAACTATTGTCAATCTGTGGTTTTACAGTATATCCTTTCTGTCATAAAAGTGTACCCAAGTAACTCCTAAAGTCCAACAGGGCAGGTAACATGAGTAGTCAGAAAATCAGCTTGTAAACATGACAGCTGTATAACTACAAGTCAGATGCTCATTTAGCACCACCTCCAGGCAGTGTTGTAGTACTACTTCAGTCAAGGAAACAGACTTGAGTCTGACTCACGTCCTGATTTCCAGGAGTTAAGACTCAGCTTCAATTTAAGCATTGATGGCTCAAACTTGGACTTGAGCACTGACTGAATTTGGACTTGGAAGTTGAAGACACTGCTGGCCAAATTTTCCATGTGACCACAATAAATATTAAAATCATAGAATTTACTGATCACATTTATTTCGACTTAAAAATCAACCTCTTTCATTTCGGTCCCATTCCACAACCCTCAGAACCAGATGATCAGTTTTTCATAATCAGAATAATATGAACATTTCAATGAATAACTTGGAGTTCAGAAAAAAAACTAGTTAAAGAGTTCAACACAAGCTGGATCATTTGAGTTACGTGTGAGTTTTATGGCTGATCAGACACCAAAATGCTGCACAGCAGTCTGTCGTATTATCAAACAGGGTTTTATATCTCTGAGAAGTAATCATGCTCACAGGCCACTTTCTTGACAATTGCAAGGTACACTGTAGAATTTTGCCTGTCACAAGTGCTGATACAGTTTGTATTCGGACCTTTCTGGATGGCACTGCTGTCAAAATTAATGAGGGGACAGTTTTTTCACACAGCTGTTGTATACACAACACTGTAGTGAGATTGGTGCATTTGTACTGAGGGGTGTGATGAATATTGTAGCTTGTAGGGCGTCCTAATAGGGTTTTAGACCTGTATTGCTTTTTTTTGGGGTTTCATATGCAAATCCTGGTTTACAATCAGCTGCCAATAAGTCAAGAAAACTCTTTTTGCAACATTTCTTTTGACAAAATGTATTTGCTGATCACATTTTTCTGACAAAAATGAGATAAAGTTAAACAAAAAGTTACCTTGAAAAGAGAGACTGACAAAATCTATTACAGTCTTTGTCAACTAATTGATAGACTAAATGAGCATGTGAATAGAAGACAAATGGACATTATTCAGCAACTCTGCAGAATCACACACTGTAGCCTAGCTCCTATTTCTTTCATCTGCCATTTAAAGTCTGTTATCCAATATTTTAGATGCTTGTTTTAAACAGCAGGAGTAAACTGTATTTTAGTGAACATGGCAATCGATGAGAGCTACACCATAACCATTAATTGTATTAAAGATGGTGACGGGCGATGTTTGTATATTCAAAATACAAACCCTGTACCCTCTCTTCCAGTTTGTGCCCCATCAGAGTCTCCTGCGCTTCATGATTGACATTGCTGCAGGGATGGACTATCTGAGCTCACAAGGCTTTTTGCACAGGGACTTGGCTGCACGCAACTGCATGTGAGTCCATCAGAGGGAGACACAGAGGAGGAAACATTAGAACAGGGGGAGCTGGAAATCAAGGCCTCCTTGTTCATATATCACTGTGTCTCTGTCCTCAGCTATTGGTATTCAGCTATAGCTTGTTTCTCGGAAGGAAGCTGCTTAAAGTTTGAAAGATACAGATTGTGGGCCTCAGGCTTGTGTGTGTGTGTGTGTGTGTGTGTGTTGGGACAAAAAAGAAAACATTGTGTCATCATTTTCCTTGATCTGAGTCTAGAGAACAGTGCCTTACCTGTGCTGACTATGCAGTTCTTGTTATCCACAGGTTGGGTGATGACCTTAGGGTGTCTGTGGCTGACTTTGGCCTGTCCAAGAAAATCTACAGCAGCAATTATTATCGTCAGAAAGTAGCTATCCGTGTGCCAATCAAGTGGATGGCCATAGAAAGCCTGTCTGAATCTGTCTACACCACCAAAAGTGATGTGGTGAGCTCAGTCTTCTGTGGAGTGTTCAATCTGTCATGGAAAGGTTTTGACCTCTATTCAGACAGCTACATTACTGTCAGTCTTAAAAGTTGAGATTAGAACCTGTTTTCTTGATCCTACCATTTACTGAATGTCTGTATTTGTACACTGAGTATGTTAAACTCTAATTTCATGCATTCTTGTTCACTCAGTGGTCATTCGGGGTGACTATGTGGGAGATTGTGTCCCGGGGTAGGACCCCTTATCCTGGAGTCCATAACCACGAGCTGCTGGATCTGCTCCTATCTGGACACAGGCTCAAACCACCTGAGGACTGTGACCAGAAACTGTGAGTTCCTCTGCTCAGGAAACGTGGCAGCAAATGTGTTTCGTTCTGACAGACTGACTGTAACACTAGTTAGCCTGAGGTCAGTCTCAGTCAGCGACCCATCCTATCCAAAAGCAGACTTTCTATCGTTAACTTTGGTGAAACATACACTATTTAAACCTTTTTTTATGAAACATGCTTTGCTGAAAATAAGCCTGATATATTGACAAACGTGTGGTTGTACTGGTAATCTTTACTGCAAAAGCCTAATTTGTTGGGCTTTATGAAACAGCCCTCTGGTACATATCTGAGAAAATATATAGTAAGCTCTAGTATACAGTAAACAACAACAGCAGCAACACATTTCTTAATCTTCCTTCTAATGGTATTCTTTCATGAGTTTTTTGGCTTGCTCAATATATACTGTCTCAGAGATTTCTGCCTCCACCCCTATAAAACAAAGGTGAATAGAAGTGTGTTATTATAGTTTCTTTTGTATCAGGACCCCAAACAGGTCATAAGATAAATATGAAGACAGCCAAAAACATATAGTATCTCCTTCTCACATAATTATGCTATTTTTGTCTGACTTTTACCTAATAGCTGGTTTTGCATGAAAAACTAAACACTGTAGGTTCACCTTTTCAGACTTCTAAAAGATTTTGGCAAAATAATTTCATAGGAATATCTCTGGTTGGAAAGAGGTGAAATCAGTAAAGGAGGGTCACTCACATTGCTTTGTTTTGCCAGTGCTATAGGGTATCTTTTTGTATGCATACAGTATGTTTAATTACAACTCACCCTACCCTTTTGCCTCTCCTTCCTGCATCTCACCCCAAACACAGTTATGAAGTCATGCAGAGCTGCTGGGATAAGGAGTCGAACCGGAGGCCTGGCTTCAGGGAACTGGGTGAGGCACTGAAAGGTCTTCTGTCAGAGCTGCCAGTCCTGGAGGCCAGCCAGGAGGCCAGTTACATCAACCAGGGCCTGGAGCTCGCTGCTGCAGCTGGCTGTCTGGAGTCACAGACAGATTCTAGGGGAAGATGGGAAAATGTCTACCAGCCTACTCCTGTGGGTGCTGCTGCAGCAGCCAGAGATGAGGATGTGGAAGTAGAGGATGGCTACCTTAAGTATATTACTAGCACAGCGGCCAATGAGGATTATAATCACTAAAAAAGTGATAGAAACAAAAACATTTTAATGCACTTTTAAAACATTTCATTGTTTCTTTTTGTTGTTGTTGTTTTGTATATCTTTTCAAGAAAACAATCTGTGACATAAAAATGGACCCATGTATTTTTGTCAGAAAAAAACATAAAAAGGCAAAATATCAATACTAAGTGAAAATTATAATGGACTACATCAAAAATATGAGATTAGTCAAAATTATGATATAATAAATCAACATTTTGACTTATAAAGTTAAAATTTGGGTCAAAATTAATAATTAATATGATTGCTGACTTTTAAATTTAAATGAGGAGTAGACAAAATTTTGTTTCTGGCATCAATATAATTGGCAATGATCAAGTTTCACAGTAGATAGTTCAACAAGACCTGTGTTATCTTCAGAGACCTCCTGGAGTGCACCTGGAATTGAATGTCTTTGTGCTTTCCTGCATCTCAATCACTAAAAGAGCTGTACCTTCCAAATATTTAAGATTATTAAAAAGATTTTCTTTCATAAATTTGTAAGATGAATAATGGTTATAATTCCAATTGATTTTTCTTGTTTGGCAAACAGTTATTCTCTAATATTATCTACAAATAAAATGTTTTCTCACTGGATGAGTTATGTGCCATAATATTTAATAAATCCCTCTTAGTATCACAGTATCATTTAAGCATCACATGTTTTGGTCCACCCAGGTCAATAAGTCATTTAAAAAAAAACTTTTGGCTTGTATCTTGCTAATTAAGACTTAATATTTCATAAATGTAATGTTACTACCAACTGTGTGCAACGTAATTTTGACCTACAAGCACTTTAAAAAAAAAAATCACTCAACATTTATTTAGCCTGTCTTCCACAGATGTGCACAGACATATAGTTGGACTCTTGCATTTCTAGTGACTTACAGTTTTAGAGTATTGTGGAATAATAACTCAAATTGTATTAAATAAATATTTGTTGCAGAGTGAGATTTGACAGTACTTATTGTGTGGTATTAAATATATCCAAGCATTTGTATATTGAGTTAACCTTTGTTTATATGATTACAGTAATATTTTCCATATCATCTAATGTTAACATTTTACTTGACTGAACATTTTTATGAGTATGTGCTTTTGGATTGAATGTGTCCTTTTAGATTAAAAGACCGTTTCCCCATATTTATGTTTCCTGTTGTCTTAATCCGAACCTAATATTCATCCTAAGTCTTTCATGCTTAATCTGACCCCGGCCTTACATTAATTCTAACGTCTGGCTACTCTGTAGGTTGTTTTGTTTATTTTGTAGTTGCTTTAATAATAAACTACAAATCCCAGTATTTCTGTAATTCTATAGTTTTCCTATTTTGCATGTAGTGCCACGTCACTACCGCACCTGCGCAGCCATTTTGAACCTCTAGCAAGCAACGGACACAGAAAGACAGGTAAAAGGGATTAAAATATACCAGCCTAAGCGCAGAAAACGAGGATATGTACGCTAGAATTGAGGATATATGAAACAGTAAAAGTCGCATAGTGTGCAACGAGCAGGAGGCAGTAACGGAGACGATACAGCAGCCATCTAAGTTCCTCGGATACCCGGACCTACAAGTCATCTTTTTTGCCGGAGTAGGAAGGAAGAGTCGAGTCACCGAAAGAAAAACACATCCAGAGTGAAACAATGAATCCTGAATAGTGAGTATTACACTAAAACGCTAAATTGTAAAGCGGTCTATGGGGTGTTCCGTTAGCATAGAGAACATAACTATATAGTATGTGGTTTATAGTGTAACCTTATGTAAATAATGCTAGGCCACTTTGGCTGCTGTTAGCTTACATGTATTGGCAAACCTCAGCTAACTGGTTCTTGTGAACAGGGCGCGGACGGCTTTTTCTTCTCGCTGACGCGTTTTCTTTGAACGTCAGCTGATAGCTTGCTCGTGCCTCACCATGTCGGCTATGACATGCGACCTTTCATGGAACAAATAAATTAACAATCTACGAGAGTAAACACGTTCATACGAACCGCTGCCCTAGTTCAGTGTAACGTTAACTAAACCAGAATAGAAACGCATGGCGTTAGGTTGACAGTAACGTTACATGGAGTGAAGTAACAGATGTGATGGCTGACCTTTAGCCTTGGTAAACAACCTAGCCAGTTGTGCTTTTCATCCAGAGATATACGTTTAAGTTGGCCTCTTTTTGGGCACATGTGAATACCATAAATACATAATTTAGTACAACACTAAAAACAACAGTTTTATTGCATTTGTAGATCAAACAACAGGTTGGTTCCGAGTTTAAACATGTTTCCCCATCATTCGTGAAAGATCCTGATACTGAGTACTGTTGTACCTGCTAACGTAGTGTAATTTCACAGATTAAAATACTAAGCTGGCTTCTCTCAGCGGTGCGTGTCGGGGCTAGCGTCAGGTGATACGGCAGGTAGCAGATGCTTGTCGGCTGACTTGCGTCCCTGAAGTTAAAGGACACCCGCCTGTCACCGAATCCTTCCGTGGTGGTAATAGGCACACTGTTGTCTGTGGCTGTCCTAGAGCCAGCAGCAGAAGCTTTCCTTTGAATCCATATAGAACCCTGTCTAACTAGCTTAGCTAACTCCTCCACACCCTTAACAGACAGTCTTAATATCCCTTTATGTTTACACAAACCGTTGAACGATCTTGTCTGTGGTTAAATATGCCTTAATATTGCCTACCATTAATCTTAGTGGACATTGAAAATACACTTGATTAGGGCTGTCTATCTATCGTAAAAGGCTTGGTGCCACTTTCTAGTGGGTATACAGGGTGTAACAGTGGCTTTATTATTTTGCTCACAAATAATCGCATTATAGCAAAACTTTTTATAGTAGTAATAGATATTTATTATGACCACTGCCGTTTTACTAGTATTTATGCCCCTCCATATTGACTTGCTTTATATTTTAAGCTCATCCTTAAGTTAATCAGGGCACCCCTCTCTAATGAATCACTCGATCTTGTGAACATCTGAGCCACAGTCCATTTAATAACAGCTTATTAACATCTACATCTGCAACTTTCCCAATTTTTCCTGGTGGCACTCTTGGTACTGCAATGCAAAATCCACTTGGGGACCTAAAAGCATTTTCTTTGTAGACCGTGATGATAAAAGAGGCTCTTAAAACTGCAAACCTGGTCAGTTATCACTCTTTATATTATGATTTTTTTTAATGCTTAAAAATGTTAGATTTGTAAAACTTTCCCACAGCCTAGAAAACAGGCCTTTTGTGACATCATCCTATTGTGAAGTCTGTGAGGTGAGGAGTGTGTGGGCTGGGGCAGCGGGTGAAACACAGTGATTCCCGCAACATGGAAGCAAAACTGGAATAGAATTTTTTTTTATGGCATATGTGGAAGAGGAATAGGGACCATTTTGTAATGTGCTGTCCTAGATAATGCATCCATGATAGTGGGCCTGCCACTCTTGATTGCCAGTGAATCTGCACATGTCTCTTGTGCGTCTTTGTGAGTTGCTTAGGTCACCAGAAAACATGATTGTTTTGGCAAATGCCCTAAACAGCAAAACCATGAGAAAACAAACCTCCTGGAACACACAGGTTTATCCATCATGTTGTACTGTAGTAAGAAAACTCTGGCTTCTTACATTATATGTGACATAATATACTGTCCAACCTTGCACATATACTGTGGCTCTCTTTGTCATGGTAGTGGGTAAGTATGAATAAAGTTATGAGGAACATTAACATGAAAGCGCCATATGTCTGACTGACAGACACCTGTCCCTTTAACATATTGATGAAACCAGCAGTGTTGTGTATCTTGTGTCTTCAGGGCTTACGTTTTTAGGTTCCATATCCACCTGTCCCACACAGTACATAGTAAATCTTTGTTAGCCTGCAACACTGTGTTGTACATTTTGTATTTGACCTGCTTATTGACTTTTTGGTACTGAACAAAATGTGTCATTAGCACCAAGTACTGAAAGTTGGTGTCATCATAATTTTGCCATTTTAGGCTGTTTTGTTTAGGACTTATTGGATACCTTATTTTTATGTTTAACACTTTGTCTTGTTTTGTTAAATGAAAAATGTTTTTTGTAGGAAATCCTGATAATCTTTAAAGTAAAACATTAACATTTTTGGCACTAGTATTGAATAGTTTCAAATAAACTGCTTACTAACTGTAAAAACTATTAGTGCTGCCACACTGTGGTTCTGTTTACCTTTGTGTCATAGCACTCATGTTAAGAATATATAAGGCAATGCACTTATGATTGGCTTTGGATTGTGTGCTGCAAAAAATAATAACTGGCTGACCAGTCCTGGTGGCCCTCAGCATTGATTTGTATCAACACAGAAATGTGAACTGGGCTGATTGCAACAGTGCTGTTGCATTCATGATGTCAGTTGATTGAGTTTCAGCCTGTGACACACAACGAGTCTCCTTTTCCTATGACACAAGAATAGCGCTAGCATTGGTAAATGTTTTTCTCTCTGTGATTGGGTGGGGGATGTTGTTCTACCACTTTGGGAGAACCTTGGGAGCAAACTGTAGTAGTGACCATCAAACCTCAACAGAAAAACATGTTCATATTCCTCTCAATAGGGGTTTGTTTAGGTGTCATTACTGTAGGTTAGGTACGGGGACTAAAGTCAGACTGTTTCAAACACACAGTACCCATCCCCAAACTCCTGCATGTGTCCAGTATTGAAAACCTGCACCCACCCCCACAGCTGCAGAGCTCCGTATTGGACCCAACCCATTATTTGTAATTATTTCTAAATGAAATCTGGACTCAACCCAACCCAGTAACATAAGACCCGATCCATATCCATAATTAAAATAGACTTTAAGCTACACAGAGTGTAATGTTTGCATAAATGGACATTACATTGATTTTAGCCACATGTTGTGCAGCCCCAACTGCCTTCTATGGTGGGGGCACAACATTTGCTCAAGCAGATACTGTAGGTCCCTTATGAAAAATAAGATCCAGAACAACAAAACATGTCTAAAATCAAGGGCTGCCCCCTAATAGTCAAATAGTCAAGTCATTTAGTCACGAGACCTGCCAGTTGACTGAGACTCTTCTAGTTGAGCCTTTATTTTTATTTTATTATATATATATTTTTAATAGGCAGTGTGCAGTACAGTAGAAGGCACCCCCACCTGGTAGTTTGTCATTTTCTCCTCATTTGGGTATGCCAAGTAGCAATTTGCTCAGTGCTTCCCCCTGTGGTCAGTGGGAATACCCACTTCAATGGTGACACTGTCCAAAGCACGGATGTACATTAAGGTCGGATCAGTTTAGCAAATTGCAGAATGAGGAGAAAAGGACAACAAAACCCACTAAGACAAGCCACATAAAGGTGAGGCTTGTACTTTGTTAGAAGTTTTTTTTAAACAGCATGGTCTACTTTTAGAAGAGAAGACTGTTGTGACGATGTGGCTGGTTTTGTGTAGGCTGTTATGAGAGTCCACTTTGTTTGTCTAACACCATTAAAGTGCAGCACACAGCCATTTACTAACTGTTCCTGTGACACGTATCCATCTGAATGGGACAAGGAAGCTAACAACAATGCACATTTCAATGAGGGGTTATAAATAAGAGGAATTGCTCAGTCCAACCGGGCACTTATCAAATGCACAGTAACAACATGTGCTGTGGTTAACTGGCGGGAAAAGCTCAAACCTGTTGCTAATCTAGGCTATAACCATGTCTCAGAAATACAATATGTTCCTGTTATTCTTTTGCATTTAAATACTGATGTGAATGTGGTTGAAATTCATGCAAGTTGATTTTCTGACAGTGTAGGCTATTTATATATATATATGACAAAATCCTCGGGTACAGCCCTAAAATCCTTGATCTGGATCGGATCCAGATCATCTTTCAGGGTATGATAGGCAGTTATACTGTGCATCTTACCTGAACATTTCAGGGTTCTTTTTTCATTACAGGTCAAGTTATGGCAGAAAATAAATGTTAAATGGGGTTTTCAATGTTAACTTTAAATGGCCATCAGATCCAGAATCTAGATCAGAGACATTGCCACGCTACATATTTGTCAAATTTCAAACAAGAAATGATTTCAATAACTTTTGAGGGAGACAGGATTTTTTTTTTTAAAGATTTACCCCATGCTAAAAATGGGAATTTTTTAAACTATTTTTTCTGACCTTGACCTTTTACCCTTTTCAGCCAAAACCTAATCACATCTATGGTTGGTCCCCACCAATATCTGTACTACGTATGCTGATGATCCATCCAGCCTTGTGTTTGTAATCTTGCTAACCAACAAGCAAACACACACACACACACACACACGGAACCAAAAACATGATCTTCTTGGTGGAGGTTTGTATTTGATTGTTACAGTTTAAACCAATTTAACATTGTGGAAACTGACTGTAATGACATAAAAATGAACAGAGTATCAAAAAGTTTTTCTTTTTGACTTGCTTGGTCCAGGCCATTGACTATATAAAACGTGGGCAGTCTCACAGCTCCCAGAAGTGAAGCCACTGTGAGTTGATCACCTCCTAGTTGTTGGCTGCAGTATAGGTCATGAAACCCTTTATTGTTTGTGTATGGGACATGAGCCAAACTAAAAACTCAAAGTACAAATGAAAAACATTTTTCACGGAGGTGATTTTTGTCATATTTGGTACACTGTGTACAAGTGGTCACTGTTCTGGTAAGGTTTCTTTTAATAGATTATGTGATTATAGAAAAACAGGTGGATTTCAGATGATATGATAGCTTTGACTGGTGGTTTGATATGACACTCAGCTACTATACAGAGGATTATGGTTGCAAAATGCTGAGAGCCACCGCATTCACAATACTTTGTCGTCGGTTTTGCACGGTGGAGGGAAGAAGGTTTTTGGACTTGTAATAATAATAACCCAGACTCATTCTTAAAACATTTAGGAAGTGGTTTATTTGTTCAAGTAGGAAAACTTGATTATACTTAGCAATGAGGTATAAAATATTGCTTAGCTATCTCTACCAGCCTGGTCTGTGAGAAAGGCTGGTATCAGTCAAGGTTTGAAATATTCAGCTTGTATCACATGTCCTCCCTGTTCTGAACTGCACTGTTTTTATTTCAGTGACTATCTGTTCAAGCTGCTGCTCATTGGAGACTCTGGAGTAGGAAAGTCCTGCCTTTTGCTGCGCTTTGCAGTAAGTAGTTCTCTCGCACCCAAAATGTTTTTCCATTACTTTTAGCCTCTTAATGTCTCTGTTCCAGATGAAACCTTTGGCATTGGCTCATTCTGTTGTTGGCCTGACCCCATCTTGTCCTTTCTCACTTTATCTCCCTCCCTTGCTGCAGGATGACACCTACACAGAGAGCTACATCAGTACCATTGGAGTGGACTTCAAGATTCGCACCATTGAGCTTGATGGCAAGACCATCAAACTGCAGATTGTGAGTACATACTATTACACATACACAGAGCCTGTAGCCCTCATCTGAGCCAAGGCTAAGATTCAAGCATTGTCCTCAAAACACCTGTGTTTGTGAGCACATTTGCATTCAGACCAAACTGGAATTGGATCCTGTTTTAGTTGAGGTAACAGCCTGTACCACCTCAGAGATATCCACTTTTTTTAAGAACACGTAGCTTTGCCTCATACTGTATGTACGCACAAAATTAAAAGCACACTACACAATGTATTTCATAGATCAGTCTAAATACTCCTGGAGATAAGTGGAGGCCCTGTATGTGTTCCTGTAATTCTGATTGATTTTCAGAATTCTCTGAGGAAATTGTTATGAGAGGTGATAATTTAGATTTTTTTTTGTGCCTGTGATAAAATATCCGTAGAACAGATTTCTAATCATTTTTCTCTCTCCCCATGTTGTGTGCCTGTGCATTTCTCAGTGGGACACTGCAGGTCAGGAGAGATTTCGTACCATCACTTCCAGTTACTACCGCGGGGCTCACGGCATCATAGTTGTATATGATGTGACAGATCAGGTGAGTCAGCAATCTGGAATGATTTCTCAGCCAGATACATTTTAACAGTATTATATTGATTCATTGTGGCAAACTGTCATGGACACAATTTTTTTGAGGCTCAGTACTCATCTCTGTACAAAAAAAGTGAGGATGGTCTGTCTTTTCACAAAATTTATTTCCCAGAATGACATCCAGTAGTGTTTTTCCACCACAGGAACTTAACAGGCTGTAACCAGGGACCAGTTGTTCAGAAGTAATCTGATCAGGTTTTGGTTATTGGATTGGATCAAATCTTGAAAATGGATTGTTCAGAAGAACGAAACAGATACTGAAATCTGATTTTGTTTGTGATCTGGATCAACCTTTGTTCGTGTTCAAATCTTTCTGGTAGGATTGGAATATCTTTGATGGAAAAAATCTGGATTATCCTGATCCCAACAGAGAGGTGGATTTCAGGAACAAAATGTAATGAAACAAAGTGGTCAAATACAACAAATTACAATTTCTATCATGTAATATATATTTTTTGCACTTCATTTGTTTAATGTGTACAGTGACAAAGAAACTAAAGTAGACATTATCCGTTCACTATAGTATCCACCACCTAAAAGCTGAATTTCAGCCCTGCTGAGCCGAAGCATGTGTGGTGGAGCGGTGCTGAGCTGCTCCCCTTGATGTTTCCACTACACCATAAAGCATGCATCTTGACCACGTGGGGGTTACGCTAGCTGCTGAGAAGTGACACATAAAGCATAGTGCTGCTGCTGTGTTGCTAGCTTGCAACATGGAGCCCAGCGTTTATATCTGGCCATAGGAACCTCTAAAAGAAACTGGCTTGAAGATCTGAGGGCCCTTGTAGGTTTGTGCCAATGCACTAATTCAGTGAGGTAAGATGGTGCCAAACCATTAAGAGCCTTAAAAACGAAAATCAGCAACTTAAGATCAATTCTAAAACAGACTGGAAGCCAGTGGAGAGAAGCCAGAACTGGGGTTATATGCTCAAATTTCCTAGTACTTGTCAGAAGACGAGCAGCAGCATTTTGCACCATTTGGAGACGAGTGAGGGAGGACTGGTTAACACCATATTATTGAGCATTGCAATAATCAAGTCTAGAAGTGATAAAAGCATGAACTGCAATCTCAAAATCATTAAAAGAAAGGAGTGACTTGACCTTGATTAACAGCCTCAAGTAGAAGAAGCTAGATTTCACAACTGAGTTGATTTGCTTCTCAAACCTCAAGTCGCCATCAAACATCACCCCTAGTTTTTTTTACAGTCCTCTTCAGGTGTCAACTAGCCCCCGGTCAGAAGCAGTTAAGTTTGCCAGGTCACCAAATAGCACACACTCAGTCTTCGTTGAGATTTAAAAAATTAAGTGCCAACCATGATTTCAAGTCTGTCACACAGTCGAACAACGGCTGTAATGACATCCCTCTTGTTGCCTTTAACAGTAACATTAATGGTGAACATTAGAGCCCTCAGAATCAAAGTATTTACTTCAGGGCATTAATACTGGATTTCTTGACATTGTGTGGGTGTTAAAGATAGTTTACTGTTTCTCTAGCTGTATTTTAGGGTATTCTTCATTTGAGTAGCCCCCCCCACTGCTCTGGCACAAAAAAACAAAAACAAAAAGCACCTGTAAAGTCTGCTGCAGGGCGCTCTGGTGTTTAGTACAGTGCTGATACTGTGTTGTTTTTGTCATTGTGCAGGAGTCCTATAACAATGTCAAGCAGTGGCTTCAGGAAATCGACCGCTATGCCAGTGAAAATGTCAACAAGCTTCTGGTGGGCAACAAGTGTGACCTCACCACTAAGAAAGTAGTGGACTACACAACAGCCAAGGTAGTGTGTTCAGTGTTGGAAGGAGGCACATTTTGTATAATTTCTTTAATTTATTAATGTTGACCTGGACAAATAACGATTTGAAATTAATAATTCCAATACCTCAAATAATAGGCCATAACTAGAAATTTAACACTTTGCGCTTGATGACAGACTAACACTGATGGAAGTGGAAGCAAAACTAGGTGTGTAGCAGTGGTGTGCATGACAACTGTTGTTGTTCTAACTGAAATTACTGCTGGAATAGCTCGAATTGTACATACAAAGATATCCAGAGTAGGTGTATCCATTTGGAGAAAATGGTGAGCTTCCACTAAGCAGGGATAAATTAGAAATAAAGGCCATTTATTATTTAAGCCTTTTTCAAATAAAGACCTGGTTCTCCTGACTGTTGAGGGAGGTAAAGGCCTCAGACACTATTTGTGACCATTTGGTAAATTACAAATGTGCAAATAAAACTGGAGCAATGGTAGTGAGAACAGTAAAAGCTTAAAAAGTAGCTGATAAATGTTAGCTAGCTAGCTAACTGTGGGATACAAACGGTTCAGGTGCAGCTATGACTGGAATACACAGACTCCCTTCCTTGCCTGTGGCTCTTATATCCAAGTCCATTGGCTCCTACTAAATATATAAATATTGCAAAATGGCCCACAGATTTACAATATTAATAGTTGAACTCTTCCGTTTTTTTTAACTGATGGGATTTTAATAGTTTTTGGCCAAGAGTGGAGCTTTATGGCACAGGGGTACAAGATATGTCAGGCTTTGGAGATGCATGATACTCTTCATGGGATTTGTTGACAAGAACAGAAAATAGAACACACCCAGACTTAACATTTTAAAATGAGCAAAGAATAAGATGGGAAGGAAAGAGTATTCTCAGTTCTGTCAGTCTTGACAAGCAAGTGAGATGGCATTTCGATAATTACAGCACACAAAACCCCAAATGATACTTTCTGTACCCATCCACCAAGTTTTTGCTAGGCCGCAACTAATGATTATCAATACAGATTCTTCTGTCCATTATTTTCTTGTTTTACTGACTTGTGTTTTGGGTTGCAAAAGGGGACTAATGAACAATGTCCAACACAGTTTCAGAAGCCCCAAGATGGCACCTTCAAATGTCTTGTTTTGTCTGATTAACAGCCCAAACCTCAAAGATCTTTGGTTTAAAATGGTATGAAGCAAAAGAGTAGAAATAAACTGGAAGAGCTGGAGTCGGAGCATGTTTGGTATTTTTCTTTAATAATTCAAAAGAAATCAAAATAGCTGCTAAACAGATTTTGATTTCATGGTCTATATGTGTGCACAGACATCCAGTGTAGTATGTACAGAGCTGTGAATACAAGCTTGTTTTCTCCCTTGCTAATGCTATAACAGAATTCAAACTCTGTAACCAGGTCTGTGTGTTGACTAGAAAGTTTTAGAATTCAGTTCCATTCTTTGCCATTTCAACATAGTTGATTGGAACTTGACTTTGTTGAGCTCATATTTAAAACAAGACAATACAACTGACAGCACAGATGACCAACAGTACCAAGTACAATTAAGACATAAAAGAAGACTACCAATAATTTGACACCCATGCACCCATCTTCACACACATCCACCTGCACACACACACACATACGCTCACACACCCATATTTAAAAAAAATCAATTCTTATAAATAATAAGCAAGTTAAATTAGTAATAATAATCATCATTTAAGAGTTAAAGAACCAAACAGCCTCTGGACAAGTGCTATTTCTGAGCCTGGTTGTTTTGGTTCTAAAAGCTCTCAGTAGTTTTTTTGGACAGAAGGAAGGAAGGTAAAAAAAGTCTGAGCTAGGTGGGATTCATCTTTCAGAATCTTATGTCTTTCAAGTCCATTCACAATCTTATGTCTTTCAAGTCCATTCACTTCCTCTCCTTTTCTGGCAGGAGTTTGCTGACTCTTTGGCCATCCCCTTCCTGGAGACGAGCGCCAAAAACACCACCAATGTGGAGCAGGCTTTCATGACCATGGCCGCAGAGATCAAGAAGCGTATGGGCCCCGGGGCCACAGCTGGTGGTGATAAGCCCAACTTAAAAATCGAGAGCACCCCGGTCAGGCAGTCTGGAGGGGGTTGCTGTTAAAGGACCCCTCACCCCCCATCACCCAAGTATCACCTCCACCATATCCACACTGACATCTCCCTTTCTTATCCATCTGTGTTCCCTCCCATCATCTCTGCCACTCAGGCCTGTACACCCACCAAACAACAGAATGAAGAAATCAACCAGTGTGTGAGGGAGGGACAAGAACAGACACAGGCAACTTTTACTTTCTGCCAAGAAGACAGAAAGAAAACAGATATGGTGGAAGATTGGTGTTGATTTTGAGTGGAGTGGAGGCAGTGGAAGATTAGGTTTAGATACCAGTGAGCTTATCTCTACATGCATGCATACACGCATGCAAACGTGCACACACGCGCGCGCACACACACACACAAACACACTGTAGTGGAGTGGCATGACTTAGAGATTAATGCCTTTTGGGCATGTTACTCCTCAGTCTCTCTTATGGCCATCCCCCATCCTCACCTCCCTCAGCCCAAATGTTTGGAATGATTTAGCTGCACACACAGGTGCAGCACTATAGATGCTCTGTACATGATAGGAAGTGACCCTGGAAAGCAGCAGCCTGCTAACAGTGAGTTGCCATTACTGTTATTGATAAAGACCCAGGGAAATCCCATTCTGTGGCTTCACTCAGCTTCCATTCTTACTTTTTTAAAATGCTGTGTTCAGTGGTACGTGGCGGCGAAACAAAACCGCGTGCTATGATAATGAAGGTAAAGTGATTAGGTAGTTACAATAAATCTGACTGTTCCAAATGGTAGTTTAGTCAATAAACTGAATATACCCTTAAAATTCAAATTAAAAGTACCTGTGGCATTTTTTGTAAACAATGTTTATATTTACTGGAACTAATAACACCCTGTGTGTGTCCATGAGGTCTAACAAATATTTTGAGTGTTTTCTTCCTCATTAATGGTATTAATGTATATATTGATAATTGTCAATATTGGTCAATATCACAAAATACTGTTATAATATTTTTGGCCATGTCGCCCAGACCTAATCTACAGAAATCACCTAATTTGTGCAAATTTGAATGCTGAACAGTTTGTGATGAATTGCCCCACATAGCCAGTGTAACAGCTGTAGAGACATTAGCTAGAAGCTAGCTAGAAGCAAACACCCCAGCTGTTTGTATGGGCATGTGTGTGTTCAGCGCTGCCTCTGACTGATTCCACAACTCTGATTCTACTTGTCGTTTCCTTCCAGCCTCTCTGCTTTTTCCTCTTGTCTCTGTAGGTTTGAGGTTATGAAGCAGATTCATTTTTTTGCCCAAGTTGAAACTCCTTCAATTTGCACAGAAGTCATTGCCAGTGATTTGCACTACCCTTGGCAAATCTAATTGCGATTGCTTATGATTTTCCATTGACTTTGTATGCATTTACATTCTCTAAATTTTGCATCATGTTCTCTCTGAACACACCATTAAGTGCTCATTATGCTTCAAACGAACTAGGCCTCTCCTTGAAAGGATTCATCGTGCTGCACTGGAGTATGCACACAAAGTGACAGAAGTAGTTTTTATGAAGGATGAAAACAGAAAACATCTTTTTTTTAAAATTCATAATGCAAATGGAGACAGTACAATGCAGCTATTTACATTGCCAGGGTTTTACAGTTTAGGACATGTTCACATCTCTTCACACCTGGCTCAGTTGCTGCATAAAGTACGCTTGATTACAGTTACTAAAACTGTTGGATGTATCCACTTCACTCCATGGGATTTCAGACTGTGCTGCTCTCACTTTGAAGCATACTGAGGCCTTATTTCCTGGTCACACCAGAAAGTGGCACAGTGAAATAAATTTATGTGACTTTATAAAATTAGTTTAGTATTGTAGTGACAAGTCCTAATCAATAATGTAATCACAAGCTGGAGGGAAACAGATTGTAGGTTGTTTGATTGATGCATTAATGAAGGGATTCCTTAACTCCCAGCTCAACCCTTGAGGCAGCTGAGGAGCGCTGGAGGCTCGCTTAATACCAGGTGAGCTAGGATGGAGATTCAGGCTGTGAGAACTGTAATATATTGTTTAGTTTTGTTTTTTTTTTTTAGTTTGTAAAAGAAAAAAGTGACATGCTGTAGCATTTAGCACAGAGACCTCTTGGAATGACACAATATTTAGACGGCAAAAAATATCACTGCAAATAGCACTGCCTACGGGGCATACTAAGTGGTAGAGGTGGTGGGGGTTCTGAGAAACAACCGGAAGAATCCTGCATTGATCTTACAATTACTGTTTTATTAATGTTGTAGTTTTGTTTTTTACTTTACCACTGACACTTCTGATGGAGACAGCTTGTACAGTCTGAGTATGTTGTTTCATTTTTTGCTTGTTTGCAGATGATGCTGTTGTAGAGGTGTTGTGGGTGTGTGTTTTTTGGCTAAGGGGGTGGGCTCTTATAACAGCTGCTGTTCCTTCCCTGAGAGCGACCTGTCTGTCCCATTTGGATTAATGGTTCAAACCTATCTTTTATGTACATGAACATTTCTGGTTCCTTATCAAATCCTCTAGTGCTCCAGTTTGTGCCTCTTGTGTAGTTCTTATTACGATACATTTGAGTCTTTTACACTGATTATTAAGGCCTCAGTGTACTTCAAATGACCTAGGTTATTCAAAATGCTGTCCGACAGCCTCTATGAGCAAAAGTTTTTACCACTGTTCAAAAGGCTCATAAATATAAATATTGTCAGAGTCTAATGTAAAACCTAAAATTTTAGATACTACTGCTGATAGAGTATTTGAGTTTTGGTACCAAGAAGCCATACAAGAACTTTGCATGACAGAAATTTTGTTAAAGCTAAAAAAGGATTAGTTCAAAATTGATCTAGGGCTAGACTCTAGAACCTATCTCCTTTGATCCGCCCAACCCTCCCTCTCCCTGCTCACTCTGCTCTGCCCCGTGCTCCACCCGATCTTTTGCCAACATGAAACAGTTTGGAGAGGTTATCATGCAACATTCAACTGGTGGGCACTAAAATAATGTATCTCACTGAGCCAACTGCCCTGCTTCATGTCTACTGTAAACACAGCCTAACTATATAGCAGCTTCCACTACACCACAGGAGGACATGACAAATTTACACTGAGCACAGTTTGTGAGTCGCGCATGTCCACAGAAAAGTTCTGTGCAGCCGTTTTGCACAGTTACGTTACAAAAACAGTCACTCAAGTTTTTCTATCATGTATAGGGCACATGCTGTTCAAAAGACATAACTATCACTGCAGCTGTAGCAGGTGACGAGAGCCAGACTCCTGGGGCAAGATGGCCATGTTAGAGGAGACTACAACACATTCAACTGGCAAACATCAAAATACTGTAATTCATGGACACACATTGATTTGACATCAGTGGCAGACCAGTCAGTGGCTTGTGTATGAACTTGCCTGGATATAACTGGCTGATTCTTATGACTGAAAGTAGCAGCACAGTGACGTCCTTAGCTTAGCCAGCAGCAGTTACAGTCACACTGGCAGTGCAAATGACACATTCTGGCACGATTTGGCTACAAGTACAAAGGCCAATGGTTTGAATCCTTATTTTACTGCTATAAATAATAAATTCACAAAATATAAGTCCATCAGGAAGAATGGCAAATCAGCGTCAGTTTGTAGTTCCCTCTGAAAGCCTTGCTGGTCGAATGTTAGGATCTAAATCCAACTGTGTTGGTTTTTTAATTCCTTCTCTTCAAAACTCATTTCTTGACCTTTTTCATGTAGCTGTCTCAGCTAACACTGAAATCAGTAGCTTGCTAGCTTGCGACCATGTCAACACAGCCTACAGTGCATTCGTATATTGATTGACAGCCATGAGCACCCACCCCTGATGTTGGCCTTCTCTGATCGGTTACTTTTAGAAGGGACTATCTCTGCACTGCTGCCAGGCTGTTTGATGGGTCTGGGGTCACAGGGGCCTTTGACAGCAACTCTCCCCATTAAGATAAGTTTTGGGAGATGTTTCTATATATAAAAAAAGAATAATGTTGCTTACTGTAGCTTTAAAATCCATTTACAGAGCTTTCAATTGCATTTTATGCATCTTTGGCATTGGACTCCAGTCACCATCCTTGAAGAGAGACAGAGGTTGTGATCTCCTCCCCATAACGACTCAAGTGCAGAACTTCTGCCATGTACTAACAACTGAACAAACTCCACCCACTCAGAAAGCTTGAAAGCCCTTGAAAAGAGTAGTAAGTGAAAACGTTAGGATTTCAATCAGAAACTGACAAAAGATAAATGGGTA